GAAAGGATTGTCAAGCCTCAAGCTGGCAGGCTGCAAGCAAAATTTAAAGCTGCAACGGGTCTTGGTGAGTTTTTGGCGTTTTGCTTGGCAGTTTTGTGTAAACATTGCTTTATAGCAGCCACTTTGCCAAGATATCGCTCCCCGAGAATTCTAGTAGCGCTTGGAAACGAAAAGTAGCAAGCGCCTGCAGCGGTCTTTTCTTATAGCGCGCCAAGCTACACCTCTTGCGCTTCATTTCGAGTAAAACTCGTTTCACTTCACTTCACTCGTATCATATTGGTTCCAACTTATCTCCGATCCTATAACCTTTGATGCCAGGTGATGGAAGGGCACACTGACTAGAACCAGGGTTGTGCTTGCAGCTTTTTTCTGGGAAGGGTGTGAGTTGATTGTGTTTGTATCTTTCTGGTACCTTGCTATTCTGACACCCAGCTCCTATTTGGAAGACACCCCGCTTATGAGTAGAAGTTCCTATACATGTATATCACTATAAACATATATACAGGTGATTGTGTGTATGTTACATGTTGACGGTTGATCAATCAAACCCGTAAAAGCAAAATGAACGGCTGTATCTCGGGGGGCCCTTGGGGGTTTGATGAATCAATTGATCCACTTTATGCATTCGGAAGCATGGAGGCTTTACCCTTCTTTGAACTCCTGAAAGGCAAACAACTAAGGTCTTTCTTTGAAAAGGCCCTGTGCAAAACACTGCTTGGCACGACTGCGCCAGGAGTAAGCCTGTCGGCAAATTTCACCTCGCAACAAAACATCATGAAGGTCCCTAGTGTCATAAAGCGTTGTGGTTGGTGACAACTTAATCACAAACGCTGTTTCATTGGATTTGCGATGGTTTCTGTCGACTTGGGTTACTATATATTTGACAATATATTGTTTGGGGATTATAGGGAGGATGCGATTTTTTTTTGGCAAAGATCTCCCATCAGCAACCTGAACCTGCATCCTTGAACGGTGATGTGGCCCCGCAGTGAATTTGAACTCTGACTCATTAACATGGAAGTGGAAGGCCACCTGTGTGTGCGGAGGAAAATGGTCATCCAAGCAGCCATGCCATCCACTTCCATGATTCTTTCAGGGAGTGTAACTAGCCAAGATTTCAAGACGGACATGTCCAGGACGCGCTATTCACAGCACCTGCCTGCATGGCTTGCAACGACCTGAGCATCCAATCGATGCTATAAGTCTGGCTTTCCGGCGATGATTTACTAAGCCACTAAGTCTTGACATGTCTTGACCAACAATAGACCTCTAGCAACTGGTACTGACAACAAAATAGACCCAAGCGATGGGTTCAAGGTTGGAATTCGCCCCTGGAAGTCCAACAGAATCACAGCCCCCCAAAAGCATTCGAACCAATTCAATCTCAGTGTAAATATCAGCCTTGCAGCCTGGGCCTGAGGAAATCTACCCTCTTACAAGTAGTTCATCTTAAAGTCTTAAGAAAAAACATAGAGAAAGGATGGGCGATGAAATGGGGTCACCCAGCTAGCACAGCAGGCACGAACTTCCAGCTCCGGTGGAAAGGTCTATGGCACGGGTCTGCATGAAAAATGGAAATGTTGCGCAATGCTGTACGGAATGCCATCCATATATGAATAAGTTGTTTTTTGGGGGGCCCTGAATGCATCTGGAACTTCAAAGACCACAACCGTTGCTCTACGGGAAGTCGTGGGCTACGGGAATTCCTTGGAGCTCAAAAACTTCGAAGCACCGACCCAAAATCAAAGAGAAGGTGCTTCGATTTGTGTTGTTTTTTTCACATCTTTGGATGCCCTGCTGAAAAGACACCGAGTTTTGCGGCTTTGCGAGAGGCCCAGGTTTTTTCTTTTTTTCCAGGGCGGCTAACAACACACAGCACTTCGACCGAGGACATCCAACACCACCGATGCGTTAAACACATGCCGTGTGTTTTTGTTGGGGTTCTGAAGGTGGACTTCTTCCATCAACTGCATGGTTATGAGTCGAAACTGCAGAATGGGTTGGGAGTTCTTTCGCATTCACTGCTATGTTACTCGCAAAACTGCATGGTGATGAGTCAAAAATGGTTGGAGCACCAAAGAATGCAAAGAACTCCCCAATAACAAAGGTCCCAGGCATCGCGTCGCGTGTGAAACATGAACTAGGCCAGTGCAAGCTGGGCATGGAAAAGAAACACGGTGCTACTCTCCCTGGAACTCACATGGTTACGTGGAGTTCACCAGCTGTTTGTTGTGGAGTTCATGGTCTTCCGTATACGGGGCCAGGCCATCCACGTAACCATGTGAGTTCCAGGGAGTGTTAAAACAAATGTGGCCATGCCTTCTCCCCAGTCCCAGGCACAAGCCCGGCAGCAAGTCCCAGTCCCGCAGCCCACCATCGACCTAGCGGAAGACGAAGACGCGGCTTCTTCGTGAAGGTCGGAGGTAAGCGCGTCAAGGTGCGGGAGGCAAGCGCGCTGGTTGATGGTATATATACATATATAGATACCCTGGAAGTCCAAAGACTATACTTTTCCATAGTGAAGTAAAGGACAGTCCCTTTCAGGCACCCTAAAGAACAATTCTTTTGGTAGTCTTCGACTCCCAGGGTGTATATATAATATATAGACTTCATGCGCACCATCGAGCCTTTCTTGCCGAGCAAGACCTAATTTGTCAAGATTGTATACGGAAGGGACTCACTATATGGGCCAAATTTATACAAGTGTATGTATAGTGTACATATATATATATACGCATATAGCACCACGCCCCCAAAAGTCTACCAAACATTGAGTTCTTTTGCTTAAATCTATTATATAGTGGGGTACGATATATACGGGTGTCCTATTACCTGTAACAGTCGGTAAACAATTATCACAAAACTTTAGAGGAAGGCATGCAACCTATATATATATATATGGCTGTGGTTCAAAACCGGGAGATCCTGTTTTTTCCAACCGAAAAGGAACAGAATAGATATGAATCAACTCAACCTACCAGGGTTTAGGCTTCGGGTGCCATGACCCACAGCCATATATGCATATACATATATAGTTATATACATATAAATACTCTCCCGGGAAGTGGAAACAAATCCTGCTTGTAGAGGAAAAGGGTCCTGCAAGGGCCATCCACTTCCATGTTTGCTCCAGTGTATGTCGTTTTATCTAACCCAGAACATGCCGGTGGGTTCAAATCCATGTTCAATCATCCCCAAGCAAAGGTTGAAACAACAAATAGAACCACCAAATAGCACCAGGAAAATGCCTGCTTTGTACAACCTCTGAACTCCGTTTGGGACCCCCTTGGAAACATACAACATCTGTCAAAAGAAGGATGGAACAACCAGGTCACTCCAACTCGTTCGGAACCTGAGTGACCTCTGAGTTGGTCGGTTTGTACAACCTCGGGTCCTCAGGATCATATCCGAGATGGCAGGAGAAAGGAAGTGAACATCCCCAAACTACTCACATGGGACCAAGGAGGATCAAGTATGATTTTGTTAAGAAAACCGTTTTCTCTTTTTGGGGGGAGGGGAGGACCAAGGCCAGTCATCGGATAGATATGGATAGATGTATATACACTCTTGACTTCGATGGTAATTCAAAAGCTCCATGAAGAGGTTTTTACCCTCCAAATGAGGGTGGGTTTTAGTACACTCGCCTGAACTAGTCGTGGAAATGGAGTTCACCATGCAGCTCCTTGCTCTTTACATGGTCTTACATGCTCACACGAAATCGGGGCCATGTTCCACGTAACCATGGAATGACATTCCGGGGCATGCCATGTGCACTCAAAAACGTCAACCTGTGACCCACCAGAAACAGCTTCAACGAGCTGAACAAGGACCCACAGGTGCAGCCTTTTGATGCCGTTTTAGCGCCTCTCTACTCTCGCGAAACGCCCTGCATTAGAGCGCGTTCCTGCAAGAGCTGTTCGTGCTCTTTTGTTTTCAGAATGCTGTTACGCTGTATGGAAATCTATCTATACATGTCTGGTGTAAGCAAATGCAATCGCCCATATCATTGGAAACACAGAAGTAGATGATACTGTTAAGAGTTGAGAAAATCAAGTGCCGCAAACTGCAACGAGCCGGTGGACTGGCTAATCTTTCCAAAAAGGACAATGACCCACTTCACGCGCACAGCGGAGGCTACTTGAAGCTGAATCAGGCACATCTTCTCCATCCATGGGTGTGCACACCCAAAAAACATCCCTACTGTCGATTGAGGACCTTTATGTGGCTCATTTGCGCACAGGCCCACAAACCTGGTTTCTACCACCAAGCTGCTCTTAAGTTCTCCGGCACTCCATGTATTCCTACATTGGAGCGTTTTCGGTGGTCAATGTAGGCATATATTGTGTCCATGAAAAACGGGCAGTGCTTGGGGGTTGTTGCATCCTAAAAGCCACCATCTCCTGTGCGCGTGGGGGGTTCGTGCCCGGCTCAAGAGGCATCACGCGGCAGGCTGCGGCAGGGTGAAACGAAGAAACATTCGGGACGCAGGCACGGGTGTCTGCGTAAGCACATTTCAAGTTTCACGGTGATGGCTTTATCATGCCTATATATTAATTATATTATATATATATTATATGTATTTCATTTGGAGGTGTAATTAAGGTGATGCCCTTCCATCTGGGAGCGGCTGGAACATGTTCAGTTCTTCACAACGGAGCCCCTCTTGTGGATTCAGGCTCGTCATTCAATAGGATCATCACCCGACACTGAACCCAGAATTCCATCAGCATGTCCTGGTCAAGCTGTCATTGATGTGTTTGACATAAGGCTGCTTCGATTGGCAGCGCCAGCACTGTATCTTCTGCGACAGACTTGCTTAGCAAGCTGTGTTCTCCAACGAACCAGCGCAGCAAATGGCCTGATCTCCTTCCCAACGGCTTAGGTTCCTAAGAAATCTAAGAATTGCCAGAATTGCCTTTTGCCCATTGACGGTCTCAGGCATGAGTACATCCTCGGATGCATCACTTTTCACTTGAAAAACCTCCAAACCCGAAACCCTTCCTCCAATCCGGACGATCTTCCTCGACTCGTCGACTGCGCACGTTTTGAGCACCCCAAACATCGGAGCACCGGGCACCGTCTTCGTGCGCAGTCGACTTGACCACCGTCGTCCACCAGGTCTTTGCCACGCTCCGTCTGCACTGTCTGCGGTGCCCTGCGGACCGGTCGCCCCGTGGACCGGCTCGGTCAGCTCCAGAGGTTGCTCTCGGACCTGCGGTGCGCTCCGTGCGCGGTGCGCTGCGGGGGGGAGCTGCGCTGCGTTGTGGAACGAAGGAGAGTGGCCAAAGAACACATGGACAACACTGCGACGAAGACATGGAAATGGACAACAACCTGGTTGTAGAGGAAAATGGACTGGGGCCATTTTCCACTTCCATGTTCAGTTAGTGAGTCAGAGTGTACATAGTCCAAATGTATGTCCAAAAATGGGAATCGTGGGGCATGCATCTTCACTCAACACGTGCAAGGAAGAGCCCTAATAACCAATTGACGGTACAAAGGGGTTGTGCTCAATATCTGAGGTTGGATACGTGCACGCAGCAACCCCTTTGATACCACCCCGAAATGCTAGACACATACATAAAACATCATGAGGTTCATACAAAGCAGGATCGTGATCGGTTTTATAAAAATAATTGCAATCAAATGGACGTGAGAAACTACGTGAGAACTGTCAACTTGAGGTGAACTCGTTGCCTCAAACACGTTGTGTCAAGCATGACTCTATTCATGGTGTGGCAAAGGGCAATCATCCATACAGGGCATTTGGAGACGGTTTTTGGCTATCACGTGGGGTAAAAGGGACGCTTTGTTTTTTCTTCGTTGCTGCTTCCTCGGTGCTCTCTCGCTCTTTCTATCTATCTCCAAGGCCGACATTGGGCTATGTGCCCTCTCCCTCAATTGAAGGTTCAGCCCCCAAACCGCCTCTGGACTCGGTTCCTGTATGTTCCTATACACTGACTGGTGCTGAATGAGGGAAGGCCTCCTCCCAATCAACATTCCTCACAGACTCATCCTCATTTCCCCCTATGCACTGGTCGTACCAGCCCCTACGCAGTATGACTGTACAAGGCATGAGCAGCTGCGAGCCCCAAAAAGCACATCCCATCATCCCCTCTGAAGTCAGTGTTCTTCTGGGTACCAAAAACAAAGCAACCTCCTCTCCAGTGTTCTTCTCAAGTGCTCCACATCCTCTTCATGTGCCGTTAGAAGGGGGGCCCTTCGCAGGCCCTTCACCCACCCGTCGCCTGGAGCCGCGCGAGGAGGAAAATGAGGCTCGGCGATCGCGGTCCGGGGAGTCGCCGCCTCCCACGTCGCTACGGCACGGACAACGGCGCGGGGCACAACCGGTGGGAGCGCCCGGCGGAGTTGGAGCTTGGCTCGGAAAAAGGCCACAGGAAAGGCTGGGTGGAGTTGGAGGGGGAGGAGAATGAGTGTCTGAGGAAACACTGCAATCATGCTGCAATCATGGGTTTTCAGGGATGCTTGGACCTTGGACTTGCCTTTTTGGTGTTGGGGCTGGTTTGGGGGCCGCACACGTTTTAGACTCAAGACCACGTCAACTGCTTTTGGACTGTTCGATCTTCGAACATCCGTTGCCAAAAAATCCTCCCATGCGTCCGAGCCATATGCTGCGTCGATGACTTTTGATTTGGCTCTTTCGCGAATCCTGCTACGTTAATGGTAATTCATCATTAGTATTTTTACCTCTTGTCTTGTCCCCACAAGTCGTCGAAAGCAGTGCGATTGGCAACAAACCCAACTAGAACCGCAAGTGGAGATCGGACATGCCTGGATTTATGGCCCTTTTTTTGTGAGGCCTTTCCTCTTCTTCGCCCCATGCTCCAGCAAGCTGGTGGTTTTTTGGGGGGCTTCGGTGGTCTCTCGCGACCTGCTGGGCCACTTGACGGTGATGCAGCTCCCTCCCCCATCATGTATGCCCTTTGATTAACAAAGGGCCAACCATTTCGCTGGCAAAACCATGTGAAACCTCTCCACATATGGAGGTTTGGAGCCTACAGGAAATACACTCATATTTTGCATCTACGGCCTGCAGCTGCTCTCGTCAACGCCAACTGCTGGTTCACCACCTGCGCCCGCGGTTAGCTCGCCGCGCCGGCGAGAATGGAGTTAGATCTGAATACGGCGAAATTCCGCTGATTTGGCCCAAGAAGGTTATGCAAACAATAACACCTTATAGTGGATTGAGAGTAGATTGCACAGCCCGCAAGAGGTGGTTTATATGGACCCCCATCTAAAGGACATCTTGGGGTCTGTGCCATCGAACCTCTGAAACCACCTTATAAGTTCAATACCAAACCCCAGCAGTTCCCAGCGTGGTCGGGGTGCCGAGTGCCCAACGAGGAAAACGTCGGGATGCGGCGGTCTGGACCGGTGTTCTCGGTGCTCTTACTGGGAGCAACAGGTGCCTTACTAGTAGTAACAAGAAGCTACTAGTAACAAGTGCCACGCTAGTAGTAACAGGTGCCTTACTAGTAG